AGTCAGTGCCACCTATCAGTGCTGCCAATCAGTGCCACCTATCAGTGCCAGTCAGTGCCACCTATCAGTGCCAGTCAGTGCCGCCTAGCAGTGTGCATCAGTGCCGCCTATCAGTGCCTGCCAGTGCTGCCTAACAGTGCCAGTCAGTGCCGCCTATCAGTGCCGCCTATCAGTGCCACCTATCAGTGCCGCCTATCAGTGTCATATATGAGTGCTGCCTTTCAGTGCCCATCAGTGATGCCTGTCAATGCCCATCAGTGCCACCTACAAGTGCCTCCTCATCAGTGCCCATCAGTGCCACCTATCAGTGCCCATCAGTACAGCCTCATTAGTGCACATCAGTGAACAAGAAAAATCACTTATTTACAAAATTGTATAACAAAATCTATGAAAAAAAACTGTTTTTTTTTCAAAATTTTCAGTGGTTTTTGGTTTTATTTAAGAAAAAATAAAAAACCCAGAGGTGATTAAATACCACCAAAAGAAAGCTCTATCTGTCTAAAAAAAAATTATAAAAATTTTCATATGGGTACAGTGTTGCATGACCTCGCAATTGTCATTCAAAGTGTGACAAGGCTGAAAGCTGAAAATTGGCCTGGGCAGGTATAAGTGCCCTGTAGGCTAGTGGTTAAAGTGCTGATTATCATGCATGATTGTCTGGATGTGCATGCTTTTCACTGCAATTATCTCCCTAAATGTTCCCCTTTTGCCTTCTATCAATACTATTTAAATTACTGGAAAAATCTAGTCTAACAGGACAGAACATTCTTTCAAAAAGTGTAAATAATGTTGTTAAAGAAGCCAAACCTGACCATGGGTTACTGCGTTCTAAATTTTCTGCTAGAAATGACAGGACCTGCCACCAACCCTTTCATTTTACATTCTCAGAAAATGCATACTTGAAATTTACATAGACAGAAAACAATGAAGAGAATAAAATCTCTGTTGTACTAGCACACGATAACAATCTCCTTTGTCTGTCTTCTATAGTACTTCTTTCTGCACTACGCAAAAGCTCCAACTGTTCTCATGATGGTTTTTCCAGAGCCATTTACAGTCAAACCTCCATAGTGCTTCTCTTTTAAAATGTACTGTAAATCCCATCTCTTTATGACTACTATGTTTATCTTCATTTCTTGAATGAATCTTCCAGCCCTGTCCACCATACACAAAGAAGGATTCTCTATGAGCCCCACTCTTCTTGATGATTGGAAAATGACCCTGTTAGCTGACAAATATACAGCAGATTAATACAGGCTGAGTAGTAATTGTCTACACATCAAAATTTATGGCTGTGTAAATAAGTAAATGCTTTATAAATCTATTCTATTTACCTCTGCCAAGATCTGCATTTTTTGCATACTAGTTCATTCATCTTTACAATGTTGTTCATTATGCAAGAATCCTGCTTTGAAAATACCCTTAAAATTCATCTCTTTTTTATTTGTTGGTTGGTAATAAGTTAAAAACTGTCAGGTTTGTATTGCTGTTTGTAATTCACTCCTTCTGTTTGTCCTGTGACCATTGTTTGCGATCTGAAGATAACAGGAAACTCAAAATGTTATGATCGTGAACACAAACTAGAGTCAAATATTCCAGTGGAGACACCCACTTACATATAGTTACATAGTTAGTCTGGCTGAAAAAAGACAAAAGTCCATCCAGTTCCACCAAAAAAAAAAAAAAGTTATAATCCTATACCCACAGTTGATCGAGAGAAAGGCAAAAAACCCAGCAAAGCATGATTCAATTTGCTCCTGCTGGGGAAAAAATTCCTTCCTGATCCCCCGAGAGGCAATCGGATAATCCCTGGATCAACATTACCTATAAATGTTAGTATCCAGTTATATTCTGTGTATCTAGGAAAGAATCCAGGCCTTTTATAGAGCAATCTACTGAGCTGGCCAGAACCAACTCTTGAGGGAGTCTATTCCACATTTTCACAGCTCTTACTGTGAAGAAACCTTTCCATGTTTGGAGATTAAATCTCTTTTCCTCCAGATGTAAAGAGTGCCCCCTTGTACTCTGTGATGACCTCAGGGTGAATAGCTCTACACCAAGTTCACTATATGAACCACTGATGTATTTATACATGTTGATCATATCCCCCCTTAATCTCCTCTTCTCCAGAGAGAAATAAATTCAGTTCCTCTAATCTTTCCTCATAGCTGAGCTCATCCATGCCTCTTAAAGGTTTGGTTGCCCTTCTCTGCACTTTCTCCAGTTCCCCAATGTCATTTTTGTGAATTGGTGCCCAAAACTGAATTGAAAATTCCAGATGAGGTCTTACTAATGAGAGGATTTTGCTCGCTTTAGAAACCACAGCTTGGCATTGCATGCCGTTATTAAGCTTGTGGTCTACCAGAACTCCCAGATCCTTCTCCACCATTGATTCCCTGTTTCGGTGAGAACTGCCTAAAGCCGGCCATATATATTATAATTATACAGAATTTGTATTTCGCCAACAGTTTGCACAGCTCTTTACAAAATGAAGGTAGACATTACAGTTACAATACAATTTGGTACAAGAGGAAACAGAGGGTCCTGCTGGATCAAACCTTGGCTGGTTCAGCAGGGATCCATCTATAAGCAGGCTGGTTGTACTGAAGTTAATTCATCAATTCACTCCAGAAAAACCAGCTTGTTGGATTTTTTTACATGTGATTGCTGCCAGCAGCTATAGCTACCAGAAGTGATCATTGTGATAATTGAAAGGCTCCTGGCTGGGAGAACACAATAGCACTTCAGGAGGAATTCCCCATCAACACTGACTGTTTTGTTGGGGAAATTGAGCAATTTTTTTTAATGCAGGAAAGAAAATTGCATCGTCTATGGCTTGCTTTGGAGACAATCTCACTTGCTGTTGTGTCAGCTTTGCATAGGCTCAGTTAGGAGAAGATCCCAATATTTATTTTAACTATTTCAATACTGGGCACTTTTATCCCGTCCCTGCCTAGGCCAATTTTCAGCTTTCAGCGCTGTCGATAACTGCACGGTCATTCAACACTGTACCCACAGTAAATTTTTATCATTTTGGTCACACAACTGGAGCTTTCTTTTTGGTGGTATTTAACCACCGCTGGGGTTTTTTTTTTTTGCTAAATAAACAAAAAAAGACCGAAATGTTTGAAAAACCCCCGCGTTTTTCTTTGTTTCTGTTATAAAAATTTTGCAAATTATCTTTATTCATAAATATAGGCCAAAAGGTATTCGGCTATATTTCTTTGGTGAAAAGAAAACAAATTAGTGCATATTATTTAGACTGTAGGAATGTTATAGAGTCTACAAACTATGGGATACATATCTTTCTGAATCCTGATGTACTGACAACCTAGCTCTTTATTTTCAAGATATATTTCTTGAGGCTCAAAAATGCTAAAACAGTACAAATATCTCCCAAATTACCCCTTTTTTAGAAAGTAGACAGTCCAAGGTATTTAGTAAGAGGCATGGTGATTTTTTTTCACTTTTTTTTTTTTTTTACACGCTGTGACCAGAGCAATATAATGTTATCATAGTAAAATTGCACTACTCTTTGAAGTGATCAGTATTTTTTTTTACACATTATGATTGCTTATAGCAGTGAATTTCATTACTGTAAGCAAGCATTTTACTAAATGAAATCAATTCATTCAGTTTTTTTTTTTATTAGCTTTGATTGGCCGCAGCTAATCACATAGCACAGATGGGCTGTAACTGGCCCAGTCTTTACCATGTGATCACTGTGACCAATTACAGCTAGCAACACAATTGAAAGGAAGCCATCCATTGTTTACAGTTGTCATGTGACCTGCTGTGATTGGTCACAATGGTCACATGATACTGGCAGCAGGCCAGTACTCCGATGGACACAGCCAGTGACAGATCATGCCACAGTGTGGCACAATCCGGGAGGGCATCATATTATGTCCTCCCAGACTGGTGAAAGCACAATGGCAGCTGGGCGTAAACTGTTTAAAGTCATTGTAAACCATAACATATACTCAGTGAAGTGACTGGCCTCAGGTGATACATAGAGATGAAACCACTTCTATATAGGTTGTACCTGTTTATCTACAGCGTCTGTCCTCTACATCCATTTAAAGTGCAGAATTTACACAGGATCTCTCAGTTCTGAAAAGTAGGGTCGGAGAACTGAAGTTACATCAGTGAGGAGAACTCAGAGAGCTGATTGGAGGGAAGGGACACATACCCTTTACACAGCACACAGGAACAGAGATGAGGCTGCCAATCGCAGGCTGTTCCCTTCCCTGTCACCATTTTTTGAACATTCTTATTATTAAACATTTAAATTTAAATTCTATCAGTGTATAGCCAGCCTTAGACTGCAAACTTTTTTTTTTTAAGGAATACTTTAGCATCTTATCAAAAAAACAAAAGAACATTCTTGACTGATGTCTTAATACATTTTAATACATTTTAAAATGTGCCTTTTTCTTTTGTGTAAAGGTATTTGATGTAATGTGTGCTATGTAATTAAAGTAAAAAGGCTATAATGATGCTACTTACACTTCCAGTAATTCCTGTTAAACAATTCAGCTGCTGTTCCCAGAACACAAGGCAGATGCTCTATGTTTTGCAAACATGATACATAATGTAATTGTTGACCACTTTTCAATGCGTGTACAAGCGGTCAAGCATGTACAGGGTGGAATTTCATTAAATGGAAAGTTTGCAGACCAACTTGTGTAGATCATTCTGTCTCTGTAAAGCTGGTCATAGATGGATTGTTTTATTTCATCAGCAAGTGGGCTGATAAAAAAAAAGAAACGGATTCCCCCATCCGCACATTCTAGACAGATGGAGGAATCCTTCCTGCTGTGCTATTGTATACAGAGAGCAGGAAAAATTCCACTATTAGAATGCACTGATCGGTATTAAAGCTGATTGGCTGCAGGCGCTGGCTGAAAGAAAATTTTCCAACATTCTGTTTAACCAGTTGCCGACCGCAGATAGCTGAATGATGGCTACACTGCGGCCGGACAGTTCTGGGAGGGCGTCCTATGGACACAGCTCATCACGTGATGTGGTAAAAGGCCAATCACAGCGGCCTTTTACCACGTGATCAGCCGTGTCCAATGACACGCTGATCTCCGGGAAATGCAATTGCTGGTTCTCGGCTGCACTTTCCTCACGCTGTCAGAGCATGAGGAAAGTACTGCCGAGAACTGGCAGCTGTCAGAGCAGGGATCGGCACCGATCATCAGGGCACTGATGATCAGTGCCCTGATGATCGGTGCCCAGCAGTGCCACCCACCAGTTCCGCCAACCTGTGCCCAGCAGTGCACCCACCTGTGCCTAGCAGTGCGCCCACCTGTGCCCAGCAGTGCACCCTCCTGTGCCACCCAGCAGTGCCAAACACCTGTGCTCAGAAGTGCCACCTACCTGTGCCCAGCAGTGCACCCTCCTGTGCCACCCAGCAGTGCCACACACCTGTGCTCAGAAGTGCCACCTACCTGTGCCCAGCAGTACACCCACCTGTCCCACCCAGCAGTGCCACACACCTGTGCTCAGAAGTGCCACCTACCTGTGCCCAGCAGTGCCACCCACCTGTACCCACCCACATGTGCCCACCAGTGCCACCCAACTGTGCCCACCAGTGTCACTCACCAGTGCCCATTAGTGCAGCTCAGCAGTGCTGCCAGTCAGTGCCACCAGTCAGTCAGTGCCTAGCAGTGCCGCCAGTCAGTGCCCAGCAGTGATGCCAGTCAGTGCCACCTATCAGTGCCGCCTATCCGTGCCACCTCATTAGTGCTGCCTATCAGTGCCACCTATCCGTGCCACCTCATTAGTGCTGCCTATCAGTGCCGCCTATCAGTGCTGCCTATCAGTGCCCATCAGTGCTGCCTATCAGTGCCCATCAGTGCCACCTATTAGTGCCCATCAGTGCTGCCTCATCAACACACATCAGTGAAGGAGAAAAATTACCTGTTTGAAAAATGTTATAATAGAAACAAAGAAAGTTTTTTTTTTTTTTAATTTTTTGCATTTTTTTGGTTTATAGCGCAAAAAGTAAAGTGCCCAGCGGCGATTAAATACCACCAAAAGAAAGCTCTATTTGTGAGAAAAAAATGCTGAAAATTTCATATGGGTACAATCTTGCATGACCGCGCAATTGTCAATTAAATTGCAACAGTGCTGAAAGCTGAAAATTGGCCTGGTAAAGAAGGGGGTATAAGTGCCGGGTAGGCAAGTGGTTAAGAGAAGCTGAGCATTAGATCATTTTGAGGGAATGGACATATGTAGGTGGATCAAAATTCAGACAGTCCTTGATAAACTAACCAATTTTTGATCCACTATGACCAGCTTGGGCTACTAGCACCTATTAGCTGTATATGAGTTTCCAAAGTGGATGCTGACACTCTTGGCCATGCAAAATGCTTGTACAAGCTTGCCAGGTCTAAACCAGTTTAACCTAGGTCTGTGGTAGAGAGGTAGAAGGGCCATTTAAAATCATTCTTTCACATTGCATAATCATATAATTTAAAGCCCAGCTGAACATTTTGTTTAAATCAGCAAAAACAGAACATCAAAACAAAAGATGTATAAAGTATTACCATTTTTTTATTTGGAAAGCAGCTGCAGCGTGAGTAGAGAAACCTGCCCCCTACCATAGAGTACGATTGCTCTGTATGTGGAAGCAATGGTCTCTCTGCAAACAAGCAGTAAAAGAGCTTTAAAACAAGTCTTACCCAGACTCTCTAGTTGCTTGTAATATAATTTGTAATTTGTTCTCAAAGATCTTCAAATATCCTCAAAGATCACAACAACTCTAAAGTCAGGTTACTTCGATTTTCTAACAACTTAAGCTGGCCATGCATGGATTCCTCCTTGCTGTGTCATTGTATTCTGACAGTGGGACTCCCCAGTTGTGATTTGCTGCATGTGCTCATAGAGTGAAAATTTACCAGGGGTGCATACGTACAGTGGTGGAATATGGCTGCTTAGTTCTGCTGTTCCACACCACCTGAGCTGTTCTTCCTGGTGGATTGAGCTCTACTCATTCACAAACCAGCACCAACCACCCACTGCTCTTCTAGAACTCCTGTTTGCTCCAGGGGTATGCACCCGAAATCACAGAAGTCACAGTAGTCACACAACAGAGTTTCTCCCACTGCCAGAGCTGCCAAGATGTCACCAAGCCTCTGGCTCCTGATGAGACCACACTGATGTCTATGGAGGACCCAGCCTCACTGGAGGATAGGCTGCAGCAGTATTCCTGGTAAGCACTCAAGAACCCGCTACTGATGCCTTGCTGCAGAAATTCTATTCAATAGCCTGTGAGGAGATAGAGGCAGCCTCCCACAAGCTCTCTTCAGACCTCATAAAGGGACCTAAAGAGCTAGGTAACTAAACAGCTCAAACAACTGGCCCCTGATCTCCCCCTGAAATGTTTGGGATTCAACAGAATCCACTGGGCTCTAACCCGCAGACAACCCTATGGCCCTCCTCAGGATGTTATTATTAAAATTCCACTTCTACTGCACACTGTTCGAGACCGCTAAGACCCCACGTTTCAAGGGCATTCCTTGCAACTCTTGGCTGACATCTCTCTACCTACTATTACCAAAAAGAGAGACCTTAAGTCCTACTTGCAGATTCTTCAGTCTCATTGCATTACATATAAATGAGGGTTCCTATTTAAACTCTTCTTCACCTACCAGAGTCGGCAGTTGCAAGTGTCCTTCGCGGGAGACCTACAGTGCTTTTTTCAAGAGCTGCAATTTGATCTACCACCATTGCAAAAGGTTGAAGCTTCCTCCTCTACAGATTCACAGCCACATTTGCCCTCTTCTCAAATAATCCTGTCCACTTCCACCCAGAGGCCCTCTCAACAATCCCTTCGAGGCTCCCAGGTTCTCCATACCCTTCAAGTGCAGTGTTTTCAGGAAGTTTCACTGGGCTGAGCATCCTATAAACTTAAGCTGCAACGTTTACTTTTGCCTTGGATTTGCTTTCCCTATTTTGGAGCCAAATCCATTGCTTATTTTTTGCAATGTTGGTTAATGAGTACTTTTTCTTTTTCTGGTGATTGGCACTCTGGACACTCCAAGGTGCTCTTTCTGATGTTACCTCACTTCCACATCAGCTTGCTGGTCCATGTTTGTGATGTAAGGCCTTACCTGCCTCAGAACTGCCTTATAATCCCTTTTTTCTTTATTTTTTTTTCTTTTTGCTACTCTGTAGGCCACTGTTCCTTGGCAGATAAGACTGCATTTATACCACCTATGCTGGTTTTATGGTTTGCTCTTGTGCACTTAAGTGTTTGGATGCTGATATTTGCATTTTGTCAGGCCTAGTAGCTCATGTTTGCACATATGATTTTCTCCTTGCCTAAATGCCTCGGAACTGCCATGCAGACTCTTGCTCCCCCTCTGAACTGGTACCTGGCAATTTATGGGTATATTGCCACCTACCAGTCCACCTGTGGACCAAGAAGCCCATGATTTGGCCTTTGGCTCCCTAACAACCTTTTTTGGCTGCAGTTTTTTCCTCACCTTATCTTTCTTCTCCTTTCTCTTATTTTATCTTTTTTTCCTCGCCTTCTCTTTTTTTTTTTCCTTTTTTCTCTGGTCACAGGGGATTCTTCTTCTACAGTTTTCCTCTGTCTTCCCCATGGTGCTTAATTGGCTTTCCTTGAATGCTCAAGGCTTGAGCTCTCCACTAGACATGTGCAGTTAATTTTGTTCTGAATCAAAATTTGAACACATTTTTTCAAAACTAAATTTTTTTCGAAAATCTAATCAAATTTGAAAACAAATTTGAATTATAAACATATTGCTGAATATTGCTGATTTCCTTCAAAGACTATGTGTATTACTGTAAGCTGCCTTCTGAAATTCAAATTTTGAAAAGAATAGAGTAAAAAATAGAATATAAAAGAATAGAGTAAAACAGAATAGAATAGAAACAATACAAAAAAATAGAAATAATATAGCCGTCTTCCAAAAGTAAAATTTTGAAAAGAATAGAATAGAAAATAAAGGAATAGAATACAAAAAAAAATGATAGAAAAGAATAGTATAGACAATAAAATAGAATGTAAAAGAAAAAAGTAATAGATTAGAATAGAATAAATAAAATAGAATATAACCGTCTTCGGAAAATCAAATTTCTAATAGAATAGAACCATCCATTCTTCACAATGAATTTAGACTGATTCAAAATTTTCTATATGAATTAGATTCAAAAACTTCGAATCTGGTCAAAAATGAATAAACAAAACAAATCTTGTTATGAATGCAACAAAACAGAATTAGTAACTTAACAAATCGATCTGAAACTAAACAGTTTTTTCAATTCCGCACATGTCTACTAAATGTGGCCTGTCTGCAGGAATTCCATCTGTCAGCCTCCCTCCCCTCTTAAATATTTTGATACTCATTATCCCTTAGCGTATCAGGCAAATGCCCCCACTATAAAACAGGAGGTCCTTATTGCTTTTCATAAATCAACCCCTTTTCAAAAAACAAATTGCTGACCCTATTGGCAGGTCTTGCTTCAGGGCTTATTACAAGACACTGAGGTCACCAAACTTGATTATAATGCTCCTGTGAACCCAAGTCAGTTCCTCTCCCATATCTGCTCACTGTTCGCTCCCATCACCTGGGCACTATGTTATTGGCTAGCAATTCTAACTTGGTGCTTAATCCCAAGCTAGATGAATATCCATCTGAGACATTTTCCCCTTCGGGTGATGCCAAAAAATTCATATAGTTTGGTCGACCTCTGGAGAGGACTTCATCCTGTAGCAAAAGATTTTGCTCATTTTTCTCATCCGCACAAGTCCCATGCTGTACATGAGTTGACCATGTATTTATGCAAGGCAGTGATGAGGGGACAAATTACAAAACTCTCTTCTAAGCAAAAGAAAGACAGAGCTCAAAAACAGAGATAACTGGAAACCCAGCTTGATCAGGCCTCAGTTTAAATGCTCGCCTAGTCTTTCCAATCATAAAGCATTGGATCAGATCCGCATGGAACTTGATCTCTGCCTTACAGACTCTGCGGAAAGGACTCTCGGATGTATGCTGAGACAAATAAACCTGATATAATTTTAGCAAATAGATTGAAAATGTTTGCTCATGGGCATGCACAATGTAGGTTGCGTAGTTGGCAGAACATTCTAACTATCAACCCTACCTTGAGGAGTTCAAACACAATCTCTCCTCTTTGTTCGCCATGCTGCACAAGTGGACACCTCTGTTCTAAACACTTTCCTTAAAAATCCTTTCCCTTGCCCAGCTGATATTCCAATTTAGACAAATAAAAGTTGTACAATGGATCAACTTCTCTTGAATGGGAACACCCATACATACGTAGATCAAAATTTGTCTGGTTCCTGCTGAACCGGACAAATTTTGATCCATGTACCGCCAGCTTTAGAAACACCGTTGGTTGTTTACAGTGGAAGAAATGTAGAAAGTGATGGCAGAAAAAGACCAAGTGGTCCATAAAGTTTGAAACTCAGAGAATAAATCTATGTCCCAACCATGTTTAAATTCACTTACTATTGAATTACTCTCTATCTCTGCTGGAAGTCTGTTTCACGTGTGAACTACTCTTTCAGTAAAATAATATTTTTTAGGGTCAGTTTTGAATTTTCCTCCTGCTAGTTTCAGGTCATATCCCCATATTCCTAATCTTGGCTTCATACTGAAAACACAGTTCTCATGAACCTTATTCATACCTATAACGTATTTAAAGGTTTCAAATAGAAACATGGAACACATTTTAGAGGGCTCTGTTTATCACAGAAAGAAGTTCAGATTTCACTGAATATGTTGTGAAATTTGAAGACAAATTTCTCTACAATGCCTATAACTAAAGAGGTGTTATTATTATTTCCCTGGAGGGGCCTGGAAAGCATTAGACACCTGATCAGTGGTGCATTGGTCAGGCTTCTACAAACAAGCCCTGCAGCTTTTTGCCTGTACCAGGCTACCTATTGAAAGCTGCAGGGCTTGTGAATAAACTGCAAGGGAGCTCATCGGAAACCTCACAGTTCATTCAGAACTACAAGCTGTCATCAGTGGTGGTTGACAGTAGTTATAGTCTATCCATTCACGGCTGTGCTGTTTTTAAATTGTGACAGCAAGTACGGGGAGAAGCCACACCAAAGGGGAAATCAGGGGAACTGGCGGCAGGAGCTGTAACATGTTACATATTCCACCCTAAATATGGCTGGAACATGTAACATGTTTCAAAAGGTGAACTTAGCATTTAAGTGCATGTATGGAAGGACATGACTTTGCTTTTGCCTGCATGTTTAGTACAATATGATGAACATGATCTGGATTTATGAAAAATAACTGGCCAGAGCAAACCAAGAAGATATGCCATGCAATGCCACTAAAGAGCTTCAAATACTCGTATCCCAAACTAACACTCCTAGAGCACAAGGCAATAGCAGCAACATGAGTGCTGACCACTTGAATATTTTTAGTCCATGTATTCCATGCCTGTTCATAAACAGTAGATTGTGCATTACGTACTCTTTGTCCATGCTTTTCTTTCCCACAGATATATTTGCCACAGAAATGATCATCAACAACATGCATTTTCCAGACATTGGACTTTATCATACAGTGCATCTCTCCTTTATGTTGAGCTTTAACTTGGTTAGATTCATTGAAAACTCGTGTGGCAAAAAGCGGCATAGGGAAAACACAAAGTGGTTTTGTGTTTTAGATACTGATATTTGCTACCCCCCCTTAAAAAAAAATGATGAGGAGGTTGATAGTTTTCGGTGATAGCTGTAAAAAATAATTTAAAATGCAAATAATGTACACTGTGTTGTTACAGCACACTCGTGCCAAACAGGATACTTTCCGTGATTTTTTCCCCAAAACAATTTTTTTTTTATGAGAGACCCTAACTATCTGTCTATCAACTATTGGCCTATGTGTGTATAATTATCCAATTAAGAAGAACTGGTGACTACCACAAAGCTTTAAATGCTGTGCTGAAGTAGAAGTTTATGATTATGATGGTGAATGGCAGTAAATTCCCCTGGGCAGTGTTGTGGTTTAGCAGTTTTCAGTGCTCATTGCTTAAATATGTGGTTGTTGAGTATTCCCTGTCTATAAAGATACTCTTCCCTTGTGTAAACATGTTCACAGACAGCACTATGCTAAACATTTAATCTCTGGCTGGCTCAAAGTGCTGATCCTCCACCTAGCTACATGTTGCTGTGCAGGAGATTACAGGATGCTTACATAATGACAGATTCAGGTATTTACTTTAGCTGTATATAAAATACCTTTAAAACATTTTTTAAAGCATATGCATGCCTCTGCTGTACTCAGTGATATATAAAGTGGACCTTCCCTCCTTTCCCTAAATTTCACAGCAGCATGCATTTTCCTGAAAGGCAGTGGTGACACAGCCCCAGCCACACAGATGCCTCCTGGGAAGGCAACTTCTCCATCGTCTTCAGGGAAAACAGGGAAGTGGAAAACAAAATAGGTTATTAAAACCCAAAACTGACAGATCTGACAGTATTGTCATAATGCACATGCGCAAGATGAAGCCTGACATCATGCACCTCAGCTCACTCATGTGCCATACGAGATTACACCGATTTGCTGGTAAAAGAAATAAAATTTCCCCCCAGATGTAGTATCTTGGTAGAATAATTTTCTTTCCAACAGATACATGTAATATTGCATGGCACACGCATGAGATGAGCCACATAAAGTCATATGCTTCATCTCATGCATGCACAGCATGGCAGAATTATGACATCATTTATTATATACTTTCTTAAAATTGAGGAACAGGGGCTCCGGAAGCACAAAGGCAGAAAGAAGACCAATGGAAATGAAGAAAAAAGTAACACAAGTAAATATACTGTACTTGTGTATGTATGGACCTTCACATAGTATATGCACTTTTAGTGGGGGCCCTCATTAAAGTGTTATTAAACCCAGGACCCTGCATTCATTACTATATCTGGTCTCCCACAGTACACAGAACATGGAAGTGCAATTATTTTAGTAAATATAAACTGCTAAATACCTTTTCTCATCAGCAGTTAGAGCAGTCTTGTGGCTTCTATCAATGTCCAGCAGAGCACTGGTTACCATTGTAGGAAGAGTTTTCATTCTCAGCTGATTGTCCTGTGAGGCTTCAGGACCCCCGACCCTCTGGTCAGTGCAGACTGACCCTGTGCTGATCACATGCACTCCCCCAAGAAAAAACTCTCTAGCAATACACTCCAAACCAGAGGCGGACTGACAATTCATGGGGCCCCCAGGCAATAGGGGATCATGAGGCCACTGTGTCCTTGCCAAAACTCAAAAAAGCCTATGAAAAAGGTACCAGGGGCATCTCATGGGGCCCCCTACTGACCCCGGGCCCTCGGGCAGTGCCCAAGTTTCCAAATGGTCAGTCCGCCCCTGCTCCAAACTGAGAATGTGCAACTTGCCCTCAAGGATGTGTTTTTTACACCACTGCATCCGGCACCTTGCAATGCACTTGGTGATGTAAGGCTTGGATGCAGCTGCTCGGCCATGGAAACCCATTCCATGAAGCTCTCTATGCACTGTTGTTGTGCTAATTTAAAGGCCACATGAAGTTTGGAGGTCTTTAGCTATTGACTCTGCAGACAGTCCGCGACTTCTGTGCACTGTGCGCTTCTGCATGCGCTGACCCCTGTCTGTCATTTTACGTGTTCCCAGTTGCTTCCACTTTGTTATAATAGCACTAGCAGTATTTAGTAGCAAGGAAATTTCACAGACGGACTTGCACAGGGGGCAAACTATCATGGTAACACGCTTGAATTCACTGAGCTCCTATGAGGGACCCATTCTTTCACAAATATTTGTAGAAGCAGTCTGCATGCCTAGGTGCTTGGTTTTATACTTCTGTGGCCATGGAGGAGACTGGAACACCTGAATCCAATGATTTGGAGGGCTGGCCCAATACTTTTGTCAATAATCCAACTAAATTGGTAAAAACTAACTGTAGCCCCCTTAATAAAAAAAAACTATTTGAAACACCAGTAACACTTTTTAAGCAGTTACAGCAACAATTTTTTCCCTTTCGGATCAAAGTTTCATATAAAAAAAATAAAAGCTAATCATTGTAAGCACCTCTGTCACTATTAAATGGTTTGTCTTAATCCTCTAACTACCACTTCTGTGGGAAAACTAGGTCTATTAAAGGAAGTTGAAATAAATAACAGACTTACTGTCAGGATTAACTGGTGAAAATAAAAGAAGAAAAGAAAACTAATGCAGCCACCAGACAAAAGAATTGGTAATATGATACATTTTTATTTTATGATATATTTTTGTTTTTGGGTTCATTGTCACTTGAGTGCCCCACTCTGTATTCTCTAGACACTTCTAAACATGCCACATGTTTGTATGCTGTCTAGCCCTTTACGCTAGGTTTCACACTTATGCAGATTTCAGTGCTTTTTCCAGTTTGCAGAAACGCACTACCGTTCATTTAAAATGATTTCCTATGGATCTAGTTAACATCTGTGCGTTTTGAGCCGGAGCAGATTTTTGAAAGTGTCAGGAACTTCTTTTCCTGCAGCAGATTGCATTTTTGCATGTAATAGACTTCAATGGAACCACATCAAATCGCAAATATTGCATTTTTGATGCAATTTTATGCATTTTACGTGCTGTGTTTTTATGTTAAGCTGGTTGTAAGGAGCGGGAGGCCATCGACGTCCTTAAAGTGGTTGTAAAAGATCAAGGTTTTTTACCTTCATGCATTCTATGCATGAAGGTAAAAATCCTGCTCTGTGCAGCAGTCCCCCAGCTCCCCCCTAATACTCACCTAAGCCTCCTCTCTATCCAGCAATGTGCACTGTAGTCTTGGCTATCCCAGGACTCCCTCTCCTCATTGGCTCAGACAGCAGCAGGAGCCATTGGCTCCCGCAGCTGTCAATCACAGCCAGTGGGCCAATGAGAAGAGAAAGGGGATGTGGGCCGAGCCGTGGCTCCGTGTGTGAATGGACACATGGAGAAGTGGGTGCCTCCATAGCAAGCTGCTTGCTGTGGAGGCACCCTGACAGAAAGGAGGGGCCAGGAGAGCCTGCAGGAGACCCAAGAAGAGAAGGATCTGGGCTGCTCTGTGCAAAACCACTGCACACAGCAGGTAAATATAGACATATACTTAAAAAAAAAAATGAGTGTGAGTATATATCAATCAAATGCTAATTATTACTAGTGAGCTAATATGGTGAATTTCTATAAATAGGTGAAATACAAAAAAGTATATATAAATAAAAAAATTAATAAATGTGTCTTGAATCAAAAATAATAAAAATTAAATCACCTTATTATAAATGCACAAATAGGTTCGCAAACACATCACACCAACTCATAAATAGTGTCAGAATCTATATAAAAAACAAATAACTGTGCTGCGCTCCTATATTGATGTAATTAAACTATAAAAACAGTGTAAGTCCTTACAATATATTATCCAAACAGTACACAAAATTACTTGAATGATCCCTTTAGGATATAGAGAAATATTAGTGTAATAACATTATTATGTGTCCAATATCAATAATAAAGTGAAATCCTCCTTTTCTGAGAGATGGGTACAAATAGATGAATTCACTCCAAAACTTTTTTGGGCTAAAAATGGAGGTGAGCGCATAATTGAGCTTCATATATACTGCAATCATCTATATGTTGGAGTGAATTAATCTATTTGTACCCATCTCTCAGAAAAGGAGGATTTCACTTTATTATTGATATTGGACACATAATAATGTTATTACACTAATATTTCTCTATATCCTAAAGGGATCATTCAAGTAATTTTGTGTACTGTTTGGATAATATATTGTAAGGACTTACACTGTTTTTATAGTTTATTGACATCAATATAGGAGCGCAGCACAGTTATTGCTTTTATAAAAAAAAAAAAAGCATTTAGTATCCCTTTAGCAACCAGTAAACAACATGGTTGTTAAGGAGTGAGCGGCCGCTGCGACCTTAACAACCGATGAGTCATCAGCTATTAGCGTAGTTCACCGCTGATAGCTGAGTGTAAACAAACCTATTGCCAGCAATTAAAAAAATAAAGAAATCAGGAAAAAAACTGTGTGGGTTCCCCTTAAAACCCATACAAGAGCTGAAGGGCCTGGTATGGATTGGTTGGGGGAACCCACACTAAAATAAAGTAAAAAGTGGTGTGGGGTCTCTTCCAAAATCCATACCAGCCCTTTATCCGAGGTCAGGAAACAGGGGGATGAGCATGCTCCCCCCTCCTGAACTATACCAGGCCACATGCCCTTAACACTGGGGGCCACATGCCTTAAAGCATCTTGTCTCTATGTTGATGAGGACAAGGACCTCTTCCGCACAACCCTGGGCTGTGGTTGTGGGGATCTGTGGGAGGTGACTTATCGGAATCTAGAAGCCCCTTTAACAAGGCAGCCCCCAGATCCTGGTTTCCCCCATATGAATGAGCATGTGGTACATAGTACCCTTACTCATTCACCAAAAAAAGTGTAAAAAGTGAATAAAAACTCAACAACATTTTTTCACAAGTCTTTTGTTAGAAATATTTAAAAAAATTGTCGTCCCACCCGACGTAGATCCACATAGATGAACACCTCTGCTGACCCTAAGCAAGAAAAAAAAAGAGCTCCGCTTCCAAGGAAGGCTCCACTGTCTGACAGCTCTTGTATAAGCAAATGGATGAAGCCACCCCGTGACATCACTGGGTGACCCCGCCCCCTTGTGATGTCATTGCTGTTCTTGTCACACAGACAGGTGCATTATAATGTAGCACTCTGCTCAGTGATGCTGAATGTACACTTTTAACAGGCTGCACATCACAAGCGCACCAGTCAGGCAGAGACCTCCCTTCACTTCTTAGATCTCCAGATCTGCCTCCTGGAACATGTGACCAGACACATCATCTGATGGAGAAGGCCATGGTGAGGTAACCTTCCCAAGATGCATCTTTTACAGGCCAGGGTTACATCACCAGTGCCTTACTCAAACAGGAAGTGGTAAAACAGCACAAACATGTTTATTTAACTAATGAATGTAAGAAAATCTCATATCAGCACCAAGAGTACTTAAAATACAGCAAGTTTTTAAAAGTCTTGTAATTCCTGGAGTTCCATTGTACATTTACAAGACTAAAGTTTGGAATCCATATTCCCTGTCTGCTCTGTACACTTCTGTAGCATGAGTCATGACCCAGAAGTAACAACTGACCACGGGCGGACTGACCATTTGGAAACTCGGGCACTGCCCGAGGGCCTGGGGTCAGTAGGGGGCCCCATGAGATACCCCTGGTACCTTTTTCATAGGCTTTTTTGAGTTTGGGCAAGGTCACAGGGGCCCCAAGAGTTGTCAGTCCGCCCCTGCATCTGACATTACTTCTGGGTAGTGCAGAGACAGAGCAGGAGTGAACAGGAAATGCTAGTATCCTGCTCCTCTACATGGTTGAAACAAAAAGTGCATGTATTGGGCTATTATTATTATTATTATAGTTATTAGGGATGGTCTATATGTTGGAGTCGAACATACGTTCGACTAGAACATTGGATGTTCTTGTGTTTGCTGAACACACAAACATCTGGGGCATTTGGTGTTCTGCGTGCCCCACAATGCAATGCACTCAGGAGGCGCATTGTAATTGGCCAAAGCATTGCACCTGACCACAGGTCAAGTGCAATGCTTTAGCCAATCACAGCTGAGTTCACAATAAGAGCCATGATTGGCCAAAGTCTCAGTGACTTTGGCCAATCCGGCTCAGTGACTTTGGCCAATCATGTCTCACGGCAATTGGGTGGAGATAGCAGGGATGTCATAGATAGCTCCGCCCAATTGTTAATGATTGATGATGGATTACAATGCTGGAACCATTTTTTTTGGCTTTTTGTTTTTTTTAATAAAGGACATGTCAAAAATAGGTTTGAATTAGTTTTTTGTTCTATAAAGGATTTTTTTTCAAAAGTCTGGTCTCTTTATTTTTTCACACTTTTAACCCTTTAGTGAAGTACAAGTACCCCTTACTCATTCACAAGGGGGGGGCAGCATCAGGGTGCTCCCTTATTTAAAAGGGTATCCTGATGCTAATGAGCCCCCCTGCCCACAGACCCCCACAACCACCGGCCCAGGGTTGTGGGGAAGAGGCCCTTGTCCTCACTGGTATGAGGACACCATCCCAATACCGAGGGCATGTGACCTGGTAAACCGTAGGGAGGGTGGTGCTTGTTCATCCCCCCCACCTTCTGCCCTGCCAGGCCTGTGCTTGGATCAAGGGTCTGGTAGGAATTTAGGGAGGACGCCATGCTTTTTCCTCCATTTTTTTGGGTGGGGTTCCCCTTAAAAGTCCTGCGAGGCCTAAAGGGCCTGGTATGGCTTTTAGGGGGAACCCCACGCACTTTTTCCCCCCAATTGTGGAAGGTGGGATTCCCCTTAAAAGTCCTACCAGGCCTACATGGTTTTGTATGGCTTTTAGGGGGAACCCCATGCACTTTTTTTCTTTGTTTAATTATACTGTGCTGACCCCACGCTCTTTTTTTTTTTTATAGTTCTATAGATTGTACAGATGTGCAGCTTTGTGGGTAGTTTAGAGCGACACCCACATCATGATATTTAAAGGAATTTATCTAATTTTTATTTTACTTTAAGCAATGACAAAAAAAATGTTAAAACCTTTGTGCCATTTTTTTTTTCACTGATTCACATCTCTCAGGGCAGTACCTGAGTCCCCATACCCCTTTTATGGCCAATAACTTGCATATAAGCCTTCAAAATAGGCCCTTTTGAATTTACAATTTCGAGACCTATAGACTTGCATTACGTTTGAAGTTCGTGGTAGAACTTTCTTTAGGTTCAACTGTTCTACCGTGAACCGAACATGGGGTGTTCAGACCATCACTAATAGTTATTATTATTTAATGTTTTTTTTTTTCAGTCACGGCACTGAGATGCCCAAGTTCCAAGCTATATTTTTTAGATGGAAGGGCAGTGACATCTACACTAGATGGTGCCACATAGGAGGGTCCACCATTTACATCAGAGTCCCTCTATCACATAAGTCAGCCTCCTTCACACCAGAGTCCGACTTTTACATCAGAGTTTCCCCTATTACATCAGTCAGCCACCTTCACACCAGAGTCCCTCTATCACATCAGAGTCCCCCATCACACCAGAGTCCCCCCTTCACATCAGCAGACAATAGAAGTCAACCCCATTACATCAGATCCAGTCCCCATCACAACATATTCCTCATTCCCCCCTTCAAAACAGATTCCTCATCACCCCTTCACAACAGAGTCCTCATTCCCACCTTCCTACTAGACATGGGAAATTTGTTTCTTCCAAATGAAAATTCGGACACATTTTGTCATTATTTGGAAATTCAGATGTATCCAAATTTTCAAATCACAACAGTAACGAATGTAAATAAATCCTCCGAAATAACAATACAAAATGAGTCCGAAATAATAACTTTCGAATCAAAATTCAAATCCAATTTGAATTTGGAAACTAACATGAAATCTAAACATATTGCAATTCTTAGATGTAAAAAATAATTGGCATGAATTTAATTAAACTAAATTAGTTAGTCAATGAATCGAAACAAAACAATTTTGTTCATTCTGCACATGTCTACTTCTTACCTTGAAATCTTCACCATGGCTACAACATGGCAGGGGATGGGAGATGAAGCAAGTGTGAAGTAGGACTTCCATCCTCCTCTAAATCCCCCCCACCCCCAAGTGTGTTACTGGTCACTTCACAAGGTAACAATAAAGGGATAAAAAAGCTTAAAAAAGGAAAACTAATGTAGCCACCACATTTAAGGATTGGTGAGCTACAATAAATTAAGTTTTTGTGTTTTAATTTAACCCATTTATGATTGCATAAGCATACAGTGGATATAAAAATTCTACACACCCCTGTTAAAATGTCAGGTTTCTGTGATGTAAAAAAATGAAACAAAGATAAATAATTTCAGAACTTTTCCCACCAATAATGTAACCTATAAACTGTACAACTCAGTTGAATAACAAACTGAAATCTTTTCGGTGGAGGGAAATAAAAATAAAAAACTAAAATAATATGGTTAAACCCTTAAAGTAATACTTTGTCGAATCCCCTTTTGATTTGATTCCAGCACTCAGTCTTTTTGGGTATGAGTCTATCAGCATGGCACATCTTAACTTGGCAATATTTGCCCACTCTTCCTTGCAAAAACACTCCAAATCTGTCAGATTGCGAGGGCATCTCATGTGCATATCCCTCTTCAGATCACCCCAAAGATTTTCGATCGGGTTCAGGTCTGGGCTCTGGCTGGGTCATTCCAAAACTTTCATCCGCTTCTGGTGAAGCCATTCTTTTGTTGATTTGGATGTATGCTTTGGGTCGTTGTCATGCTGAAAGATGAAGTTCATCTTCATGTTCAGCTTTCTAGCAGAAGCCTTAAGATTTTGTGCCTATATTGACTGGTATTTGGACCTGTTCATCATTCCCTCTACCTTGACTAAGGCCCCAGTTCCAGCTGAAGAAAAACAGCCCCAAAGCATGATGCTGCCACCACCATGCTTCACTGTGGGTATGGTGTTCTTTTTGGTGATGTGCAGTGTTGTTTTTGCGCCAAACATATCTTTTGGAATTATGGCCAAAAAGTTGAACCTTGGTTTTTTCCTACATGCTTTTGGGAGACTTCAGAGGTGTTTTTGCAAAATTTAGCCGGGCTTGAATGTTTCTCTTCATAAGAAAATTCTTCCATCTTGCCACTCTACCCCATAGCGCAGATATATGAAGAATACGGGAGATTTTTGTCACATGTACCACACAGCCAGTACTTGCCAGATATTCCTGCAGCTCCTTTAATGTTGCTGTAGGCCTCTTGGCAGCCTCCCAGACCAGTTTTCTTCTCGTCTTTTCATCTGTTTTGGAGGGACATCCAGTTCTTGGTAATGTCACTGTTGCGCCATATTTTTTCCACTTGATGATGACTGACTTCACTGTGTTCCATGGTATATCTACTGCCTTGGAAATTCTTTTGTATCCTTCTCCTGACTGATATCTTTTAACAATGAGATCCCTCTGATGCCCTGGAAGCTCTCTGCGGACCATGGATTTTGCTGTAGGATGCAACTAACAAAATATCAAGAAAGACCTAATAGAACACTGAACTTTATTAGGGATTAATCAGAGGCACTTTAAATGATGCCATGTGTACTGACTCCTATTTAACATGATTTTGAATGTGATTGCTTAATTCTGAACACAGCTACATCCCCAGTTTTAAGAGGGTGTGCATACTTATGCAACCACATTATTTTATTTTTTTATGTTTACTTCTCCCCCCTAAAAGATTTCAGTTTGTTTTTCAACTGAGGTGTACAGTTTATAAGTCACATTAAAGGTGGAAAAAGTTCTGAAATGATTTATCTTTGTCTCATTTTTTTACATCACAGAAACCTGACATTTTAACAGGGGTGTGTAGACATTTTATATCCACTGTGTGTTGTGTCCAGGAAGTTGGCTTTATTCCTGGACGCAACATATACAGTCAGGTCCATAAATATTGGGATATCGACACAATTCTAACATTTTTGGCTCTATACACCACCACAATGGATTTGAAATGAAACGAACAAGATGTGCTTTAACTGCAGACTGTCAGCTTTAATTTGAGGGTATTTACATCAAAATCAGATGAACGGTGTAGGAATTACAACAGTTTGCATATGTGCCTCCCACTTGTTAAGGGACCAAAAGTAATGAGACAGAATAATAATTATAAATCAAACTTTCACTTTTTAATAGTTGCAAATCCTTTGCAGTCAATTAGAGCCTGAAGTCTGGAACACATAGACATCACCAGACGCTGGGTTTCATCCCTGGTGATGCTCTGCCAGGCCTCTACTGCAACTGTCTTCAGTTCCTGCTTGTTCTTGGGGCATTTTCCCTTCAGTTTTGTCTTCAGCAAGTGAAATGCATGCTCAATCGGATTCAGGTCAGCTGATTGACTTGGCCATTGCATAACATTCCACTTCTTTCCCTTAAAAAACTCTTTGGTTGCTTTTGCAGTATGCTTTGGGTCACTGTCCATCTGCACTGTGAAGCGGCGTCCAATGAGTTCTGAAGCATTTGGCTGAATATGAGCAGATAATATTGCCCGAAACACTTCAGAATTCATCCTGCTGCTTTTGTCAGCAGTCACATCATCAATAAATACAAGAGAACCAGTTTCATTGGCAGCCATACATGCCCACGCCATGACACTACCACCACCATGCTTCACTGATGAGGTGGTATGCTTAGGATCATGAGCAGTTCCTCTCCTTCTCCATACTCTTCTCTTCCCATCACTCTGGTACAAGTTGATCTTGGTCTCATCTGTCCATAGGATGTTGTTCCAAAACTGTGAAGGCTTTTTTAGATGTCGTTTGGCAAACTCTAATCTGGCCTTCCTGTTTTTGAGGCTCACCAATGGTTTACATCTTGTGGTGAACCCTCTGTATTCACTCTGGTGAAGTCTTCTCTTGATTGTTGACTTTGACACACATACACCTACCTCCTGGAGAGTGTTCTTGGTCTGGCCAACTGTTGTGAAGAATGTTCCAAACAGTTGTTTTGGCCACGCCTAATGTTTTTGCTATCTCTCTGATGGGTTTGTTTTGTTTTTTCAGCCTAATGATGGCTTGCTTCACTGATAGTGACAGCTCTTTGGATCTCATCTTGAGAGTTGACAGCAACAGATTCCAAATGCAAATAGCACACTTGAAATGAACTCTGGACCTTTTATCTGCTCATTGTAATTGGGATAATGAGGGAATAACACATACCTGGTCATGGAACAGCTGAGAAGCCAATTGTCCCATTACTTTTGGTCCCTTAACAAGTGGGAGACACATATGCAAACTGTTGTAATTCCTACACCGTTCACCTGATTTGGATGTAAATACCCTCAAATTAAAGCTGACAGTCTGCAGTTAAAGCACATCTTGTTCGTTTCATTTCAAATCCATTGTGGTGGTGTATAGAGCCAAAAATGTTAGAATTGTGTTGATGTCCCAATATTTATGGACCTGACTGTATGTGTTCTTGTGTTTGTGCTGGGAAGCATGCTCGATTGCGTGCTCCTAGCACTAATTGTGACCTATTACCGACAGCTCTAGGTCTCATTCTAATGATGTGATCACAGAGATAACAGTCAAATCCAGTCCTACCCTAGTAGTCATTCTCATCTGTGAAGATGAAAAGATACATTGAGTATTTTTCTCCTGGCTAGAGGAGGTCAATGAAGATTAAAAAAAAAGTATGTTGAAATAAATAAAGATGAACTTGATCAGGGCTTGATCTAGTTTAGCAAGTGTTAGACTACTTTCACACTGATCCGCGTCAAAAACGCATATGCGTTTTGCTGCGTTTTTTTACTGTGTCTACGGTTTTTAAAGGACATGTAACTCAAAAACAGCACCAAAAACACAACAGAAGTGCCTTTTTGATGTGATTTTGCCACGCATTTAATTGATTTCAATGGGGAGGTGCATTTTTGGTACGTTTATTTTTACTGCACTAAAAATACAGCAAGCAGGAATGTGAAAACACACGGAACACATAATGGATCATTGTGAAGATTTCCATAGGAATACATGGTCACACGTTTTTCTTTCACTTTTTTTAATGCAAACGCAGAAAAAAAATAGATCAGTGTGAAAGCAGCCTTTTCGTGCATATTTATTGTGCATGCTGCATTTTTGGTGCGGTTTTAAAAACCACACACAAAACAATGTAGCTCCCCACTGAAATGAATGGGAAAAGTGGCAAAACGCAACAAAAACACATAAAAAAACACACCAAATTTTGCATTTTTGGTGCATTTTTGAGTCACTTGTTAATTTTTCATGCAGATGCATTTTTACCACAATTTTGCTATAGACCCATGTAAAACGGCCCTTAATTTCAGTATAGTTACATAGTTAGTCTGGTTGAAAAAAAGACACAAGTCCATCTAATTAAATCAATAAAACAGTAAAAAAAATTATTAAGAAATATTTTTACAATCCTATATACACAATCATATACCCACAATTGATCCAGAGGAAGGCAAAAAAACCCAGCAAAGCATAATCCAATTTGCTCCTGCAGGGGAAAAATTCCATCCTCATTCCCTGAGAGGTAATCGGATATTCCCTGGATAAACTTTACTTATAAATGTTAGTATCGAGTTTTATTATGTGTATTTTCACAGCTCTTACTGTGAAGAAACCTTTCTGTATTTGAAGATTAAATCTCTTTTCCTCCAGACGTAAAGCATGCCCCCTCTGTGATGACCTCAGGGTGAATAGCTCTACGCCGAGTTCATTATATGAACCACTGATGTATTTATATATGTTCATCATATCCCCCCTTAATCTCCTCTTCTCAAGAGAGAATAAATTCAGTTCCTCTAATCTTTCCTCATAGCTGAGCTCCTCCATGCCTCTTATCAGTTTGGTTGCCCTTCTCTGCACTTTCTCCAGTTCCCCAATGTTCTTTTTGTGAATTGGTGCCCAGAACTGAACTGCATATTCCAGATGAGGTATTACTAATGATTTGTACAGGGGTAAAATGATATATCTCTCTGGAGTCTATACCTCCCCTAATACAAGAGAGGATTTTGCTTGCTTTAGAAACTGCAGCTTGGCATTGCATGCCATTATTAAGCTTATGATCTACCAGAACCCCCAGATTCTTCTCCACCATTGATTCCCCCAGTTGTACTCCCCCTAGTATGTATGATGGCATGCATATTCTTAGCCCCCCAAGTGCATAACCTTACATTTATCAACATTAAACCTCATTTGCCACATACAGTAGTTGCCCAATTCAATTAAGTTGGAGACATCCTGTGAGGATGTTATTCCACTGCACAGGTGTCATCTGCAAAGACTGAAATGGTATTTTTAATCCCAGACCCTATATCATTTATAAATATAATAAAAAAGTAATGGTCCCAACACTGAACCTTGGGGTACACCACTAACAACCCTAGACCATTCAGAGTATGAATAATTGACCACTACTCTTTGAATATGATCTTTTAGCCAGTTTTCTATCCATTTACATACAGATTTTTCCAAGCCCATAGACTTTACCTTACACATTAGCCGTGTGTGGGAAACTGTGTCAAACGCTTTTGCAAAATTCAAGTATTTATATCCACAGATACTCCTTTGTCTATGCTTTTGCTTACCTCCTCATAAAAAGAAATCAGATTTGTTTGACAACTTTTGTCTTTCATGAATCCATGCTGTCTGTTACTTAAAATATTTTTTACCAGCAAGAACTCATCTGTGCGCTCTTTTATTAAACTCTCCAGTATCTTCCCAACTATAGCTGTTAAACTAACAGGTCTGTAATTATTTGGTAAAGATTTGGATCCCTTTACGCCTTACGCCAATCCAGTGGTACTATGCCAATCATTAAAGAGTCCCTAAAATTGAAATGACAGAGTTCATTTCTTTTAGAACTCATGGGTGTATGCCATCTGGCCCAGGTGCTTTATTCACCTTTATTCTGTCTAAATATTTCTGAATCATATCAATTGTGAGCCAATGTGGATCATCTGGGGCAGTGTCAATACCATGCCCATTATGGGCATCTCGGGAGGTCAAGAAGGATTTTTTTCCCCTGCAGGAGCAAATTGTATCATGCTTTGCATGGTTATTTGTCTTCCTCTGGATCAACTGTCCAAATAGAATTATAACTTTTTTTTTATGGTTGAACTAGATGGACTGTTGTGTTTTTTCAGTCCGACTTACTATGTAACTATGGGGACAATTCACAAACAGATAAATACCGCATTAATTTTTAAGTTAAAATAACTCATGCGGGAAGGTGTCCAAGATGGCAATCGGAGCGACCACATAACTGTGAGCTCTGCCACCTCGCACTCTCATCCGCAACCATCCTGGGGACAGCAATCTCCCTACCTGCACTGGAGGCCCTGCCAACTGAGCCCGCTGCCTAGAGAGAGGAGTCAGGTCAGTCTGACCCCCCCTCTAGAGTGACAGATGTCCACAGCCTATTGAGACCTACTGCAGCCTCGGACCCGACCTGGTGCCTATCCGGGGTACCACTGCCCTGCCACCTGAAGCCCTGCACAGTAAGTCCTCTGCCTGGGGGAAGCCACTGGTAGCCACTTGACCCTCACTCCAGCTCCGGAGGCCCATGGACTGCTTAGGCCTACGCACCAGCAGAGCCTGTGCGTCCATTCCTGGGGTGGCACGGCTCCTACCACTTCCATGGCCCTATTGAAGATAGCTGCTGCCTGGGGGGGGGGGCACGTCCGAGCTGTCTACACCCC